AATTAATTAATTTACAACTGTTCGTTTAGTGACTGCTGGAAGTTAACAACAGCACTTTAAAAAGTGATTTATAACCAGTTTTTCACACTTGCGACCGTTGCACGACCCCACGGTCACACAATCAAAATTCAGACTTTGGCATATTTTTGATATACATATTTTTGAGTCAACGGGAGAAGCCTGGTCTGCTTAACAGCCGCATGCTTTGCTTAACAACTGCATTGATTCGCTTCACAAACAAGGCGGAACGAACGGCAACAGCATTTAGGCTTGTAAACCGGCCTAAGAAAGGTCATAAAATGGGGCAAAACTCACTCTCTTGCTTAACAACCCAAATTTGGGGCTCAGTCAAGTCGAGAACTACTTGTAACTCCTAACTGCTGGCTTCGGGGGTGACATGCTTGCCTGGGAAACTTATTTTTTACATCCTAGCTTATAATCCTCACTCTCTTGAGTGGAAGTGAGGAACTGGGGTTGGATGTAGCTTTAAACTCCATGGGACTAGAGAACATTTCGTGGTGCAGAGTCCTTGGTGCTCTCTGATCTTGGTTGTTTGCTTGCAGACGTTTCATGACCCAACTAGGTAACCTCATCAGAAGGGAGAGAGGTTTGGGATGAGAAGGAGGAGGGAGAGGGGGGAAAGGAGGAGGAAGGAGTGTGGAGGTCCTCGGTGCTCTCTGATCTTGGTTGTCTTCTTGCAGCCGCCGTGTTTTCTCGCAGACGTTTCCTGACCCCCAAACTAGGTAGCCTCATCCGTGCTGGTCCTCATTTCAACCCTGAGCTCCGGATAATTCTCCTCTATTGGTATTTCCTGGGGTGTTCCTGCCCAAGTCCCCACGTCCCCCAGCATCCGTTCCCCCCCAACCCCCCCCCCCCCCCCCCCCCCCCGTCCAGAAGATTAGGAAGAGCCCCTCCCTCCTTGCTCTCTAAGTCACTAGAAGTGCCAGCGGTGCACCCATATCTGGTGACTCGGGCCGGCAGCTTCCCTTCTCCGCCTGCCACTCACGCTCGGTGAAGAAACTTCCTCTGGCAATTATTGTCTTTATTCAGCCTTGGGGAGGGACGGAGCCGTGTCGGATAACCTGCTCATCCAGATCTATCCCGGGGTTCTGCCATTCAGGGCAAAGGTCATGCAGCAGGAGGATTCTGGGACTTGAAGTCCCAGCCCATTGACCAAAACGTCTGGGTGGGAACGCTTGCATTAGCTGGTCTGATGCAGCCATTAAGCCAGGCCAAACTCTCATTTCCGGTGCTGAGTCTTAAGAAATACATTACAGGCAGTCTTTTAACTTACAACAATTCGTTTAGTGACCATTTTTTCCCCTCACACTTAAGACCACTGCGGCAGCATCCCCACAGTCACGTGATCAAAATCACTTGGCGTCTGGTTCCTATTTACGACGGTTGTAAACGTCATGGAATCATCTAATAAATCCCTTTCGACAAGCGAAATCAAGGGGGAAGCCAGATTCGCTTAACAACCACGTTACCAACTGGACAACTGCAGTGATACGTTTAACAACGGTGGCGTGAAAGGGGGGGAAAACTCCCTTTAGCCACTGTCTCACTGAGCAGCAGAAATGTTAGGCTCAATTGTGGTCGTAAGTCGAGGACTACCTGGATGTTAAGTTTCTCTCCCCCCCCCCCCCAAGAGATTAAGAAACACATTTAAAGTTCCTGCCCACTTTGATTTCTGTGTGTGTGTTTTTTCCCCCCAGTGATTACCTGTTCAAGTTGCTTCTAATCGGAGATTCCGGTGTAGGGAAATCTTGCCTTTTGCTTCGGTTCGCTGTGAGTATCTACGATTCCACCCCCCCAAAAAAAAACGTCTATTTTTCTTGCCCTTCCGTTGCAAAGCAGGCCTTCAGAGCCGCTGCTAATTTAGGAGCATTTGGAGGGAAGGTGAGGCCAAGAAAAATAAAATCATTAAAACAAAAACAAAAACCAAGAATTGTGCTTCTGGAATTCCTTATCTGCCCCACCTTCCAATCTTAAATCCCCCCTTTGTTTGGAGGGGAAAAAGGATTTTTTTTTTCATGAAATTCCTTTAGCTGTTGGCCACGGATTAGATTCCTCCTGAATTCCACTTCCAAGGGAGATGCATTGATTTGAAACTCCACGGGTTTTATCTTTTGCAATTGTTCGGGGAGTTTTGACGGGGTCGAACTAATTCACCAGGATCAAGGCTAGGATTGACAGAAATGAATCATTTTCTCTGTGGTGACATAATATTTTTTCCCCCCTCCCGCCGTTCTCCGTGCTAGGATGACACTTACACAGAAAGCTACATTAGCACCATCGGGGTAGATTTCAAAATCCGGACCATCGAGCTGGACGGCAAAACCATTAAACTGCAGATTGTAAGTTTTGGGGCAGCTATCCCTGAAGGGGGGGTGGCCACCTCTGCCTGGGGTTTGGTTTCGGTTTCCAGATGTGAAGCCAGAGGGAGTCTCCGATTAAAAATCAAAAATTCCTGTTTTTCTGAACCATTCACTAAATCTTTGGATGTAGCTTTTAGATGCAGCATGCTGGCTGGGGAATTCTGGGAGTTGAAGTCCACCCCTCTTAAAGCATGCTAGCTGGGGGATTCTGGGAGTTGAAGTCCACTCCTCTTAAAGTATGCTAGCTGGGGAATTCTGGGAGTTGAAGTCTACCCATCTTAAAATTGCCACGTTTAAAAATACTGGCCTAGATCCCTCCAGAACGCATCTAATTGATTTAAAAAAAAAATTGTAGCCCCCTTTGGGAAGGAGCTCTGTTTTGTCCCACCCAGTTTTTAATCCAATTCTGTTCCTTGTTTTTACTTCTTTCTGCCTTATTTTTCTAAATTTGTGAGCCACCCAGAGTCCCTGAGAGTCAGGCAGCCATGTATTTAATATCCACCCTGTTCTTGTGATGGGATGTAGTGAGGAGGGGGATTCTCCAGGAAGGAGGGGATGAAATCCTAGAAAAAGTAAGAGGCAACTCAGCCTGGATATTATGTGTGAGAGAAAGAGGGTGAAGTCAGCCTCTTCCTAATAGCCCCCCGAGTGTATCGTAGAGGCAGAATAAACCTTTTGCCCCACTGACCGATTCCAATTGGATCCTGCAGATAGTAAGAGTTCGTAATCCAGCCCGATTTGGTCCCTGGGTGTGAAACAATAAGGAACTCAACGTGTCTTCAGTCTTGGTTTTGGGCCTGAGGTTCTGTCCAACGAGGGGGCTGAACTGCTCTTTCTGCTTTCTCCAGTGGGACACAGCTGGGCAGGAACGGTTCCGGACCATCACGTCCAGCTACTACCGAGGGGCCCACGGCATCATCGTGGTCTACGACGTAACGGATCAGGTAGAGTGGCCCTCGGGTGGACCACAGAGGCTTATAACACCCCTGGGGCATGACGCAAAGGACGGAGCAGAGACAGACAAACGTCAGGGCCACCTCATTTCCCTGCCTTCGTGCAGCGCGTGTTTTATTCGTTCGTTTATTTGCTTAGGAGTTAAATTCATTGGAATCCCACAATCCCCAAATAATTAAATAATAATGACGGGAGAGGGAAAAAGAGGCCATCCCACCAGCTAAAAGGCCATTGCTGTTAGTTTGAAGTCCTTGCCTTCGCAAACAGCTGCAGAAAAGCTGGATATGAAAGCAAGAACATTCAGTATTTTTTAAGACACTTTTCTTAGGAATAGCAAAACATTGGCCTTTGTGCCCCAAAGCCGTGCCCATTCTCCACATGCAGCTGTGTGGACTTCAGCTCCCAGAAAGCTTATCTTTGGCCATGTCGGCTGTGGAATTCTGGGAGTTGAAGTCCTCCAA